ATATATGTACAGAAAGATAAAGAGAGTGTCTATATTGGAGTATATGTTGATGATATTCTGTTGTGTGGAAGGAGTAAGGAGCAAATAAAGGAAATCAAATTAGCATTATCAGAGAGCTTTGATGTTAAAGATTTGGGAGAGCTCAACTACTTTTTGGGAGTAAAGGTGGAACAGGATCACAAAGCAGGCACTATCTGGATTGGTCAGCCAATGTATACAGAAGCAATTTTAAAGAGATTTGGCATGGATAATTGCAAGGGTTTGACAACTCCAGTGGACATTGGCATTAAGTTGGTTAAAGGAACAAAAACTAGTGAATATGTAGATGCATCACAGTACCAATCAGCTGTTGGAAGTCTTCTGTACTTGTCTATGAAGACACGCCCAGACATTACTTTTGCAGTAGGTCTTGCTGCACGTTTCTCTTCAAACCCAACATCACAACACCTTACAGCTGTAAAACGTATTTTTCGATATTTACGAAAAACCACTAACTATGGTCTACTGTTCAGGAAGAGAAACTCCAAATCAATCACAGGTTTTTCAGATGCGGATTGGGGTGGCGATGTAACTGACTGTAAGTCTACAAGTGGTTATATATTTCAAATTGGTGGTACAGCAGTTACATGGCAAAGTAAGAAACAGTCCTGTGTGGCCCTTTCCACAGCAGAGGCTGAGTATGTGGCACTTTCTAGTGCAGCACAAGAGGCAACTTGGTTAAAACAACTTAATCAAGATCTACAGGGCTCAACTGATCCCATTGTAATCTATGAAGACAACCAGTCTGCTATCTCAATTGCCAAGAACCCTCAGTTTCATGGGAGAGTTAAGCATATCAACATAAAGTACCACTTCATACGGGATCAAGTACGTGACAACATTATTAAGTTAGTGTACTGTGAGACCAGTGAGATGATAGCAGACATGCTGACTAAAGCCTTGGGAAGGATCAAATTTGAAAAGTTCAGAGAAATGGCTGGAGTATTACCTATGCCAGACTGTAAGAGTGAGGAAGAGTGTTAAGATGTTACACTCCTAACAGTCTGACTATTATGTAATAATGTGTGAACTTTTGATTGTGCATATGTGTAGTGTGAACAATTGATTAATCTATGTTGTAATATATAAGTCGTGTTTTTCATTTATCTCGCACTCTGCCTAATTGTATTTCTTTAACTAAGAATCTTTACAGGTACTATACCTCTGCCTAATTGTATTTCTTTAACTAAGAATCTTTACAGGTACTATACCTCTGCCTAATTGTATAGAAGTTT